TGGTTTTTCGTCCTGGATTTAAAGGATGCTTTCTTTTGCTTACCATTAGCCAAAGAAAGCCAAAATTTATTTGCTTTTGAATGGGAAAATCCTGACACAGGAAAAAAAACTCAATTAACTTGGACGGTATTACCTTGGGTTTAAAAACAGTCCAACGATTTTTGGAAATCAGCTAACACAAGAACTAGAATCATGGAAGCCACCTACCCAGACGGGGACTGTTACAATATGTGTGACCTATTAACTGCTACAGAAACAAAGGAGGAATGTATCCAGTGGATAGTGGAATTATTAAATTTTCTGGGACGGAATGGTTATTGGGTATCCAAACAAGGCCCAACTAAACCAAACCCGGTCTCCTACATCAGATATGAAATAACAGGACAGAGAGAGAACTTGGAACTGCTAGAAAATAAGCCATTTGCCAGACTCCACGACCGTTGACCGTCAAGGAGATCCTGACATTCCTGGGAATGACTGTATGGTGCAGACTTTGGATCCATAATAATGGTGTTCAGGAACAATCGACAGAACCACTAACAGACGACTGCTTGACCACCATAGAGACGGTATATTGGAGCTGACCAGACTTAAAAGAAAAAGCTCTGGAAGATGTTGATTAGTGTTTTACTGATGGTAGTAGCTTCATGAAAAATGGCAAACGAAAGGCAGGATATGCTGTTACCACCGCTTCACAGGTAATAGAAGCACACTCTTACCAACAAACACCTCTACCTAAAAGGCAGAAATAATAGCATTAACCAGAGCCCTGGAACTGGGTAAAGATAAAAGGTTAAATATTTGGACTGATTCTAAATACGCATTTGGAGTGGTCCATGCACATGGTGCTATCTGGAAAGAACGAGGACTTTTGAACACACAAGGGAAACAGATTAAACATGCCAAAGAAATTCTACAATTACTGGAAGCTGTTCAGATACCTGAAGAAGTAGCTATCATGTACTGTAAAGGACATCAACAAGGTGACTCTGACCAGGGAATTGGCCGATTCTGAAACCAAACGAGCAGCTGAACAATTTTAAATCATGTCCTTAATACCTGATGGCAAGCTAACCATTGAAAAATATAAACCTAGGTATTCAAAAGAGGATAGAAAATTGACTGAGGATCTCAAAGGACAGGGAAATAAAGAGGGTTGTATTCAGACAGCTGATGGGCAAATTGTAATGGCCTACAACCAGCTCTGGACGTTAGTTCTGGAAGAATATAATAAAAATCATTGGGGTAGCAACTCTTTGTATAAATATTTAGACAAATTGTAGGAAGGAATCTATACACCACAGTTCAATTAGAGACAAAACAAAGTCAGCCATGTCCTAATAATGATCCTAAGACTGAAAATAGAAATCAAATTGGGACAATTGGTAGAGGAAGTTTTCCGGGACAGCAGTGGCAATAGATTTTTCTGAATTACCAAGAAAAGGGGGTTATTGATATTTGTTGGTGTTAATGGATACTTTTTCAGGCTGGCCAGAAGCATTCCCTTTAGGATAAATAATGCAAGATAGGTGATTAAAACATAATTAAATGAAATAATGCCTCATTTTGGGGTACCAGAAGCAATTTCTTCTGACCGAGGCTTGCACTTTAGTGCAAAACTGTTACAAGAAATCAGCAAAAAATTAGAAATTGATTGGCAATTAAATGTTCCATATCGGCCTCAGGCCAGTAGACAAGTAGAAAAGATGAACCATATGATTAAACAACAGATTAGCAAAATATGTCAGGAATTGAATTTATATTGGTGCCAAGGTTTACCACTGGCTCTATTAAGAATTTGAACTAAACCTTGGTTGAAAGAAGAGGTTAGCCCATTTGAAATTTTGTATGGAAGACCATTTCAGTCCCAGTTTAAAGGAGAAAGTCTTCAGGAAGAGGGAGAAGGCTATCTCTGACAGTTTCTGATCAGTCTGAGAAAACTATTGGAGGAGATAAATTAGAGAATAGTAGGGACAAGAGAAAGAGGTTTGGATTATCTGAATCACAAAATGGAATACATAAACCTTTAGAATCACTTTTAAGTAATGTTAAGTTTGATGGCTTTGTAACAGTAGCAATGGAAAATTACTAAGGTGTATGATACACAGAAAAATAAGTAGTGTACAGCTAGAGAACATACCGAGAATTCTTGTACAAGATAAATCATCATAGTTGACATAGATTTAAGAAAAACAGTCTAGAAGAACAGAACACAGGGATAAGGAGTATCTGGGAACCGCAGGTGTCCAGGATGGGCTACAGTTTAACTGATAAGTAGGAGGATAGGAGGATTATTATGTCTCTGGTGCTAACAAACCAATTAAACTGGTATGAACATCTACTACGTGTGCTTCAAAGGCTGCCAGAAGTGATGAAGATTGTTGGAAGAAGTAAACGACCCTCAGAGACCACCACCACAATTCTGTACGCATGCAGGGAACTTTCTGGAAAATTATGCAATCCATACATAGCCTCATGAATATGTATGTATGCCTTGTGGCTATAAAAGGACAGCTTGTGTGGCAACTGGGAGACACACGTTAGGTGGAGCTATCCCCCGTGTCTCTCGGCGCCGCAATAAAGAATACCTGCTTGTCAATTTTAAAACTTTGTTGGTAGTTTGTTCCTGGAGTTTTCTCCGAATCAATACAAGTGTCACTATCTTAAAATCAAACTTTAAGCAATAATCCGAAATGGTTCCTTCAGACTAAAACTAGCCACCAATAGCACAAAAAACATACAGGAAACAGTATAAAAAAGTAATTTCTAATATGGAACCAAGTAAAAAATATGGTATTTCCCTGATAATTTCACTATCTTTATTATGCCACATATTGAGGATAAAGACCTAGTTATTGTACTGTTTTATTTTCCTTTAGCAGTGTTGCAGAAAATGAACAAACTCTTTTTGTCCAATTAAATTACTTGGATAAAAGACCTTTTTTAAGCAAATGCTTTTAAAGTTAAAAAATACAGAAACAGCAGTCTGTCTGCCCTTCAAAAATTAGGACTCCATCTTGCAGGCACACATTTAAGCAATTTTGTCCAAATGAATCCACTGCTTTCAGTGTAAACATCTAGGTTAGTAATAGTTATTCACTGTAAGAGTTTACAGAATTGGCCTTTTAGCCCTTATCTTGCAATCTGACCTCATCAGACCATGGTGGCTTCAAAACCTTTCCAAGAAGCCTTGTGGATCCACTCAAGTGGTTTAAACAAGAACAGTTTTAAATTTGTGTATAGCATATTAGTCTATCTCCATTGTAAAAATGTGACTGATGGCTTCCCAAAAAAGGCAGGTACCTGGAGAGCGTCTGTACATAGTTACAGATTTTGATGGAAGCAGACATTATTTTTTCCATGCTGATGTTGCTAGGCACCTTAATGCTCTCTCTGCACCTTTAAGAGACAGAAGTCAATACCTCTCAATTATAGTTAAGTGAAACTTATGCAAAGATTCTAGTATCTATGACTTTTTTTTTCTTGTTATTAACCTCAGGCAGAAAAACTGAAGCATAAATTGTATTAACATCTCCAGTGAAATGCCCAAACTGAATCAGTTACCTGAGGAAATAAAGTAGCTTTTTCTGTAAAATTCAGTCTTATATACTAAATACATTTCTTAAGTACTGTTGATAAAATGCATTTGTTAAGATTAATGTGTCATTGTACAGGCTAATTGGCTTTTCCCCATTATACTTAACGGTAAAATTCATATAATTGGAAAATAGGTTAGCTGTATAGTTCAATTTACCATTCAGTAGGAAAAAAAGTGAATCTCCTAAGACTAATTATGCACTTATAACAACAATAAAGCCAGATAAGCTTTCAAAGGCTCATAGTCTATTGAAAATAAAAAATAGTATCATAAATTTTTGCAGTCCCACATTCCCAGAGGTGACAGTGTTGTGTATATTGTTGCACAACCAATAAATATTCTCAGGATAGATGACACACAAAGATACCAGACATAAAAATGACACAAACAATTTTTGATAGGCTGCATCTTTTGCATATTTCTTCCACAATTCATATTGAAGTTTCTTTCTAGATCATCCATTTTAAAATATCGCTGATGGGTAGTTCTTGCACTTAAAGATTTTACAAGCCCATAAAATTACAAACTTTATTCTTAAAAAACTACATACAATAAACCCCAAACCACAAATGAAAATCCCAAACAACCCCCCACTGGATGTATATATGAAAATCCCCATCTATGTTGCTTTTCAGTTTAGAAGTAGATGCTATGTTTACACTTTAAAGATATGCCTTATAAATGCACAAAAAAATAAGCAAATCTCTTTAGCCATACATAGCAAAGTCATACAAATGAAAGCCATTCAAACCTAATGTAACAGGAAGAATCTGTAAAAAGTTTTTAGTTCTATATGCTTGCAAATAAAGCTGGACCTTTGAAACATACTCTAATGATAAAACAGAATGCTTAATATAATAATTTTAATAATGTTATTAAATTCAATATTAAATATTTTCTGTGAATTACCTTTTTTAATGAAAAATACATCTAGCGACACTTCAAGCCTGGGATAATTTAGTCTCATTGATGTTGAGGATAATGCTAAAAGGTACCTTTTTACCACAGTTATTTACCCATGTATGTGGCTGTAAAAATTACTTCACAGTAATGCTGACTTCATTAAGATCAAAATAAATTAATCATGACCTCATCAGGATTCAAGAAATATCTATACTGAGCCAAACTTTCAGATTCCGAAGTTAAATAAAAGAAAAAAGAGACAAGTAAGTATTTAGCCAATATAATATTGACATTAAATCAACTGTTTCTTAAGCTTCAAAATAAAACTGAACTTTGACACCAAGACTTGCCTCTGACAGGAATTCAGTTGTAGTCTAGTCTTTATATAAAGCTAAAAAGCAAATAAATGGTGCAGGACACCATCCCATCCCTCCCCATGGGAAATAGTTTTTGTAATGAAGATATCTATCGTGACATGATGTGAACAATAGGGTTATGGTTGGGTTTTTTTTCTTGTTTTCTTTTTAAAAGCACTGCTGAGGTTAAACGCATTACTAAAGCAGATACATACAATTATGAGTAATCACCACCTATAGGTGTTAACACTGGCTACAGATGTGTACCTAGATAAACAGTTTTAAATATATTCGTATAGCATCGCAACAAATCTGAGTCATTCCAAACATAGTTACAAACTTGCAAACATATATTCTATACTATAGACTGCTAGAGCAAGATTTAGAACTGAATGGCAGAGAGTTTTCTGAATTTACATTTGTAACTGCTAACTTCTTTCAGTTGGAGAGCTACACAGGGAAACACTAAAATACAAATAAACTTCAACAGCACTGCATCAACATCTGATCTTGCAATAACGTTACACAGTGTACATATACTGAGGTAGACCAATCACAAATATATTTATTAAACCCTCAGACTGTGGCTGAACAATGAATTACGCATTTACATGGTCTACGGACTTGAGCTCCATGTCTTTGTCAGGTACATTAGGTGTGCATAGAGGATGGGTGTTTATAACCATATTTGCAATCTCTGGAGTCCTCACAAACTAGAACCAGCCCCTGATTTACACTGGGAAGTATACAATAATATCCACATGAAGAGCTCCAGAAAAGCCTATTATGTTAACTTACATATACATCCTGCATTTAATATTTTCTGAAAAACTGTCAAAAATAGAGACTAATTAGATCTTGCATGTCCTCTTCTGTCATTTCTATTAATGCTAAAACCAGATAAAAGCTAAATTGTAGGTAAGGGAGTCCAGAAACAGTACAGCAAAACCAGAGCAAACTTCTAATTACATCACATACACATTCTCTAAGCCTTGAGATCCTAACCCAGGTGTTCAAATGTAGTAGTACCACATTATTGTTTGCAGAGATGGCAGTACTCCAATGGCCTTACTATGGCTCTCTTGACCATCCCCATAGTTCATCAGACATTCTCTTTGCATTTCTCTCAATTTCTTCACCATTCACCATCTACGGCTATAAATGAAAACAAGGGCCCCAGGGATGGAGCATTCCCAAGGAAGTTGTGAATGCTCCATCCCCAGCAGTATTGAAGACCAGGTTGGACAAAGCCTTGGGTGACATGGTTTAGTGTGAGGTGTCCCTGCCCATGGCAGGGGGGTTGGAATTAGTTGATCTTAAGGTCGTTTCCAACCCAAACCATTCTATGTTTTGATGATTCTATTTCCTAAGAGAAACAAGTGAACTTAGAGATTCCCTCTAGCAACAGCGGAACTAGGAAAAAAAGAACTGAAAAGTTCAATTAAGAAAAACATGGAAGATGAGCAGAGGCATTAGGATTTAGAATACTTGAATAAGCTTATGAGATCAACCTCCTATTATCAAGTAACATTAAGCAATGCTTTCTTGAAAGGTAGGGGAGCACAGCCAGAAGAAGCAGGATAGTGCTAACAGGCATACTGATTTTCCTAGCCATTGACATTTTGTGAAATAATAAAGTGTTTGATATAACTGCTATTTTCAGCTGACAGGAAAACTCAGAGTTAAAAAATATTGGCAGCTGGAGGCTGCCAATAAAATTGCTTCTTATTTTCAGTTACTTAAGTCTCCATGTCAGACACACTCACATCTATGCTATATATAATGCTATGCAGCATACAGCTTGCAGAAGTCATTTTCAACTACTAACACATTTTTATGAAGCTGACAATCTTAAAAAGCCTTTCAATCAATGTAGTCAGCACTGCTAAGCACTACTGAAGGTGGATTCTCTAAGGTGCATGCATGTCTGTACACAGACACACAAACACATACGGCAGTTTGCTTCTCTCAGGGATCGACACAAGCAAAATTATCCATTAAGGCCAGAGGGTGCCCCTGTAACATAATCTGACCTCAGAGATAAATAGTAATTGAGTTCTAAACAGCTATGGTTTCATATAGAAAACAGTAGAAGAAACACAGAATTTGTTTGCAGTTACCTGAAGAATTTTTAACTAGTGAAATAGAAACTCGCGCAACGCCAACAAAAGGTACCCAACAGCTAACGAAATAGCAAATACGCCCTAAACTAAGATTTTATTTTTGCAAGCCCTAATTATACGACATATTTGATTCTATGATTCTATGATTTGCTTTAAAACAATTTCACAAGTTCATCACTGATGAGTATTTGTTATGATCAGATGTAATTTATGCCACGGCAAAATATTAAGGCATATTTAAAAAAAGATCAAGTGAACTCATTTAAAATCAACATGCAAAGGGAGGATATTAAAAAATTACTGAAATACAAAATAAAGAACACTGTGAAAAACTAAAGAAGTAATTGGATCTCCAGGCTTTTAGGAAGTTTTTAATTCAACATAATAAATATCACCAGTCACTGTATTATTAGCTATGTTCAATGCTCTATAGAACAGCTTGATTAAAGCTCACATAATTGGGAATAAGGACATAAAACAAGAACACCTCGGAAAAACAATGAAACAAGTTGTAAAGTTTAAAGACAAAGAAATAAGTAAATATAGTAATTTAATGTTAAAAGCAACATTTAAAATCTCTTCCACACCATTATAACTTATTTTTGTGTAACTACAAATAGATGGTGGAGCTCCATGGAATTCTGAAGTGTTTTCAGTACCTGTAAACTCAGTGCTGGTAGAATCCTGTTGAGTTGTGATTTATTTCATTTGTACAAAAATAAATAAATAAATATATGTATATATATATAGAGAGAGAGAGAGAGTTCAAAAATCCATGCAGCAGATCCCTAGAAATATTCAGGACAGTCTGCTATAGAAGCACTATAAAATTCCAAAATGATTCTGCTGGTTCATGTCATATGAGAGTTGAGTGCTGCACTAAGGTGTGAGATGACAGTCTCTGAAAAAAAACACCAAAACAAACCCAAACCAAAACAACACCAAAACAAAAATCAAATGTCCAGAAGGACAATAAAGTTCTCCTACAGCAAGTCCATTTTGGGTCTGTAATGTAGCAGTAGAGGTGCTTTCTGCAAGACAGAATCATCAGACAGGTTAAGGGGCAAATGCAAAATGCATTAATATACTTTATACATAAAATCTGTTTCATAAATTAAAACTCAGAGAGACTATCAGAGTAGCTATATTCCCAAATTTCACCAAGATACCTCACCTACAGACCTCCCCCCATAATCCTTCTACTTTTGTCTTGTAACTGATCATGTTAAGAGTAGATAACTAACACTAGATCTGGGCATTTAGAGTAGAACCTGTTCTCAGCAGGAGCCAATCACAAGCCCTTGAGGGTTTGCATAAGAAGAGGGCAAGTAAATAGCAATTCTCCAGAATGTGCCTCGATCTCAAACAATTCATGAATTTCCCAAGCCAGATGTAGAGCCTTATATTAATAGTCCTCACCCAATACTTCCTCTGTGAATTTACCCATTGTTTTTTTAAAGCCATGTAAACTTTTAACATCTACAACATCCTGCAGTACAGAGTTCTACAGTTCAAGTTTACACAACATAAAGAATGGTCATAAAAGCCTCTTCTACATGAGTTTGTGTGAATTAACTTCTTAGGTACTTATGTGCGTGGATGGAGCAACAGTTACCTGAAAAGAGCAGGCCAAAGAGAGGAAAAGTACATGCTGAAAATCACATTATGATTGACGTTGGAAGGGACCTCTGGAGGTCATCTGGTCCAAACCCCCTGCTCAAGCACAGTCACCTAGAGCTAGTTGCCCAGGAATATGTCCAGATAGCTTTTGAATATCTCCAAGGAGGCAGACTCCATAACTGGACAATCCCTTCCAGTGCTCAGCCACCCTCACAGTGAAAAAGTGTTTCCTGATTCTCAGATGGAACCTTCTGTGTTTCAGCTTATTATCATTGCCTCTTGTCCTGTCACTGGGCACCACTGAAAAGAGCCTTTCACTGCCCTCTTTGCATTCTCCCTTCAGGTATTTATATACTTTGATGAGTTTCCCCCTGAGCCATCTCTTCTTTAGACTAAACAGTCCCAGGTGTCTCAGACTTTTATCATACTAGAGATACTCTAGTCTCTTAATCATCTTCGTGGCCCTGTACTGGACTCCCTCCAGTATGTCCATGTCTCTCTTGTACTGGGGAGCCCAGAACTAGACACAGAACTCCAGATGTGGCCTCACTAGTGCTGAGGGGAAGGAACACCTCCCTTGACCTGCTGGCAATATTTTGCCTGATGGATTCGGTCTGGGTGACCCCAATCATATGTTGGTGCATGGGGATGTTCTTCCCCAGGTGCAGGACTTTGCCATTCCCCTGGTTGAACTTCATGAGGCTCTTCATGAACTTCTTGAACTTTATAAAGACAGTGTGTGAACATCTCCCAAGGACCAGTAAGTTCCTGAAACTAGCTGTCCTGTTGAACACCTGATAAACACTGAACACCAAGGGGCTGCCTAAGGTCAAGGACATGAGCAAACACTGGCATTAATAATGGGTTGCACAACTCAGACCACATACAAGAAAGTGATCACTGCTATATGTAGATGAAAGCTATAGGATTACATATACACCAGAGTAGAGAAGGGACCACTGAGGGATTTCTGAACACCTACCTGAAAGCCACAAGCATGTTGGTATGATTCTCTACTAGAGAGATGGAGTTGGCCTACCTACTGTTGCTACAGTCCAATAATTAAAAGAACATGTGCACAAGTGAATTATGTTTCCTGGTGAAATCCATCAGCGAGTCCTGAAGGAGCTGGTGAATGAAGCCAAGTGCAAGGTCCTACACCTGGGTCGGAGCAATCCCAGGCATACCTACAGGTTGGGCGGAGAAGAGATTCAGAGCAGCCCTGCGGAGAAGGACCTGGGGGTGCTGGTCAATGAGAAAATGAACATGAGCTGGCAGTGTGTGCTTGCAACCCAGAAAGCCAACCGTATCCTGGGTTGCATTAAAAGGAGTGTGACCAGCAGGTTGAAGGAGGTAATCCTGCCCCTCTGCTCACGTGAGACCTCACCTGGAGTATTGTGTGCAGTTCTGGTGTCCTCAACATAAAAAGGACATGGAACTGTTGGAACAAGTCCAGAAGAGGGACAAAAGAATGATCAGGGGACTGGAGCACCTCCTGTATGAGGACAGTTTGAGAGAGTTGGGGCTGTTCAGCCTGTAGAAGAGAAGGCTGCGTGGAGATCTCATAGCAGCCTTCCAGTATATGAAGGGGCCTGCGAGGATGCTGGGGAGGGACTCTTCCTTAGGAGCTGTAGTGATAGGACAAGGGGTAATGGGTTCAAGCTTAAACAGGGGATTTTTAGATTAGATATAAGGAGGAAGTTCTTTACTGTGAGGTTGGTGAGGCACTGGAAACAGCTGCCCAGAGAGGTTGTGAATGCTCCATCCCTGGTGGTGTTCAAGGCCAGGTTGGACAGAGACTTGGGTGACATGGTTTAGTGTGAGGTGTCACTGCCCATGGCTGGGTGGTTGGAACTTGACGATCTTAAGGTCCTTTCCAACCCTAACTATTCTATGATTCTATGTTTGCTATTCACACAGTACAATTACTTATCTACTGGATGGAGTTAGTTTTCTTCATGGCCATTGTCCTGGGTTCAGAGTGAGTGAGTGGCTGCATGGTACTTAGTTGCCAGCTGGGGTCAAACCATAACAGGAGGTCTTATGGTGGTATGTTTTGGATTTGTGATCAAAACAGTGTTGATAACACATTCATGTTTTAGATATTGCTGAACAGTGCTTGCATAGCATCAAGGCCTTCTGTTTCTCACAATGCCCCATCAGTGAGTAGTCTGGGGATGCACAAAGAGTTGGGAGGGGAGTCAGTAAAAGCTGTGGGAAAGAAGGAGCAAGGGGGTGATGTTTGGGCTGTTATGCAAGAGGAAGCCCTGCTTTCCTGGAAATGATTAAATGGCTGCCTGCCTACAGGAAGTAGTGAGTGAATTGCTTATTCTTGGCATGTTGAAACCAGCATGGCCTTTTTGCTTGCGATCAGTATGTTGCTGAATGTGTTTCATGTCTTGTTTA